TTATAAGTGACTGATTCACACTTATGTCCATTGCTGCATCCCCGTGATCACATGATCTCAATTTGGCAACTGGCTCATATTTATGACAGTTGCAGTGACCTGAGGTCATGTGATCACCTTTTGCAGACTCTTGACGAGCAAAGCCCATGAGGAAGCCAGATTCGCTTAACAATCGTGTTACTAAATTAACATCTGCATTGATTCTCTTACCAACTGTGGCAAGAAAGATTGTGCAATGGGGCGACACTCGCTTAACAACTGTCTTGCTCAGTAATTGGAATTTTGGTCTCAAATGTGGTCGTAAGTTGAGTACTGTCTGCATTGTAAAATAGAAAAAGAAGCATATTCTTAGAGTTTGGAATGATCCTAAGCCTAAAATACGTAAATTTAATGTATTCAGTAGTCCGCTTCCTTGTAATATATTTAATTCAGTTAGCAATTAATCCTGATTTCTTAATAGATAATTCACATCAGTGGTGGAATTCAATTTTTTTTACTACTGGTTCTGTGGGCGTGGCTTATTTGGTGGGTGTGGCTTGGTGGTCATGTGACTGGGCAGGCGGGCTTGGTGGTCATGTGACTGGGTGAGCGTGGCCAATTCAATGTCACTCACATCAAGGAGTGCCTCACCTGGCCCCTCCCCTCCCAGCCATTCCTTGTCACCCAGCCAAGCTTATCTGTAGTTCTGTAAAAATGTTGTTCACCTTTTTTTGACTTTATTATCTGCATACTATAGATGTACTTTCATGGACCACTGAAAGGAGGAAATAGCTCACATGCTTTACTCAAGAGTGTGATAGGCAACAGGCTTTTAAGGGGCTGCCACAAAGAAAGGGGGACAATGTATTTTCCAAAGAAGCAGAATGCAAACAAAAAGCAATGGATGGAAACTGAACAGAGAGAAGCAACCTAAAACTAAGGAGAAACTTTCTGACAGTGAGAACAATTAACCAGTGGAACTGCCTGTCTCCAGAAGTTCTGGGTGCTCAATCACTGGAAGTTTTTAAGAAAAAACTGGACAGCCATTTCTCTGAAATGGTATAGGGTTCACCCCAAGGTCCCTTCTAAGTATTATTCTGACACCTTTCCCAGGATTTCTATTCAGAGTTTGGCTTGCCTGAGCTGGGGGTTGGACTAGAAGACCTCCAAGGTCCCTTTCAACTCTTGTTAAACACATGTGTATTTTATGCTCTGGACTATAGGCACTGAATGCATGTAAACCCTGAAAAATATGAGGTAGCCCTGGGCAAAAGAAAGGCAGTAGAATCACTCTAGGTGTAGGGACAGTGTAAAATATTAACACATGATAAATAATGGAACAATTAAAAATAATAGCACAGAGTTTTCTCTGTCTCTCTCTCCCTTCCTATTTCTTTTTCTTTCTTTCTCTTTCTTTGTCTCTTTCTGTCCTTCTCTCCCTTCCTTTCTTTTTCTCTCTCTCTCACACGCATACCACACTCTCTCTCTTCCTATTTCTTTTTCTTTCTTTCTTTCTTCTTCTTTCTTTCTTTCTTTCTTTCTTCTTTTTTCTTTCTTTCTTTCTTTCTTTCTTTCTTTCTTTCTTTCTTTCTTTCTTTCTTTCTTTCTTTCTTTCCCTCCCTCCCTCCCTCCCTCCCTCCCTCCCTTCCTTCCTTCCCTCCTTCCTTCCTTCCTTCCTTCTCTCTCTCTCTCTCACACACACACACGCACCCCTGCCAGCGTTCTTTCCCTCTCACTTCAGGCACTTTACTCACAAGGGGAAGTGAATCCAGCATTGGAGAAGTTCTGCAGGTAAATGGACTTGCATTTGAAGCTCCTGCAAACTTCCCCATGGCTGGATTCCCCACCCCCACCCCCCCAGCGTTCTTTCCTTCTCGCTCCAGGCACTTTACTCACAAGGGGAAGCGATACTTCTAGCGTCCATGAAGAATCTAGCCTTGGAACAGTTTTGCAGGTTAACAGACTGCTGCTCTGCCCACAGTCATGCGTTTTCAAATGGCTGCTTGAAAATGCATGGCTAGGGCGGGGGAGCAGTCCTCCTTTAAACTGGGGCAGCAAACAATCGGGTGGGCGGGGCAAGCGATTGAGCAGAAAATGGGTGACCGGGTTGGGGGCGTGGCCAGTTAGATGTTGCTACCGGTTTGGCGACTCACGCCAAATTCTTGCTACAGGTTCGCCCGAGTAGGTGCGAACCGGCTGAATAGCACCTCTGAATTCATACTATCTGGGGAAAAAATAACCATTTGGGAAGTAGATCCCGCTGGTGTTTCGAGAATATAGTGAGCCTCGATGGCACAGTGGTTAGCGTGCAGTACTATATGCTGGTCCTACTGCAGTTTGGCAGGTCGAATCCCACCAGGCTCAAGGTTGACTCAGCCTTCCCTCCTTCCGAGGTGGGTAAAACGAGGACCCAGATTGTTGGGGGCGATAGGCTGACTCTGTAAACCACTTAGAGAGGGATATATTGCTATATGCCTGCTGTCCTATAAACCCTACAAAACTTCTTTAGACCGCTAGCCCTTCCCATTGGCCAACTAACCAACCAGTGTCTTGCCCACTGCAACCAATCAGCATTTGGGAGAAGTGTTCTAGGCTGCCAAATCTTGGCATCAGGTTCAGTCCTAGAGAGGTTTCCTTGGGGTCACTCTTTTTCTTCAGCTTGTTTTCTCGGAAGACTATAGATTTCAAAGAGGTGAATTGGTCATCTTATGGCACCTGTGATTCTATAAAGTTAGTTTCAACCCCATCGATGATTCCGCCTACACTGAATTAAATTTAACCTTCCAGGGATGGTTTGACAGGGTAACCCGTGATCTCTCCACTGACTCAGTTATGATGCTGCAGGAATAGGACCCATGTATAAATCAAAACCATAAAATTAATTGACCAAGGAATAAGTGTCGATGCTGCAAGATAGTCCAGTTCTAGCTTTACCTTCCTAGCTCTTCTTCTAAGCTTGCATTCACAAAATTTTGCAAGTCTGAAAATATTCCCTCCTTTCCTTTTATTCTCCAAAAACCTAAGGAGGGTCCCTTCTAAAACACTTCCATTTCCTCCCTTTCTTCTCTGGCCTGACATAGCAATAATGCTCCTACTTATATACTGCCCCATATTACTTTACAGAGATTGCAAAGTCAGCCTATTGCCCCCAACAATCTGAGTCCTTATTTTACCGACCTCGGAAGGATGGAAAGCTGAGTCAACCTTGAGCCAGTGAGAATTGAACTCCTGGCAGTGAGCAGAGTCAGCCTCCAATATAACATTCTAACCATTGCGCCACCACAGAGATACCTTTTATATTGTGGTTACCTAGTCTGCAGTTCTCCCTTCTGTCTCCCAAGTTTATTTCCATTTCCATTACAATCAGAAATCTAAACCACATATTGATTGATTGATTGAATGAATGAATGAATGAATTAATTAATTAATTAATTAATTAATATTACCACCTATTCGCCCATGGCGACTGGAGGCGGCTTACACAATGTAAAACCATATTTAAAACAAAAAATAAAAATAAAAAACAATATGCTGCTGATGTCCCTGATACTGTTTTTTTTTAACTGATATAGGTCTCTTTGCATAAATGTTTATAAACCTATCTACAGGTAGTCCTCACTTAATGACCATTCAAAGTTACGACAAACCTTTCCAGAACTATTTATGACCTGTTTTGTAAGTTCTGGTGGCCACAACCTCCCCAGAAGTCATCTGGTCACATTTTAGGTGCTTGGCAACCCACTCGAAGTTGTCGCCGTTTGTAGCATTTTGCGGTCATGTGACCACAATTTTTGGCATTTTAAAATTGGCTTCCAAAGTTTACTTCCGATTTCCAGAAAAAGACCCATTGGGAAAACAGGTTTGCTCAGTGACTGTAATGTTCTCTTAATGATCACCACAAAAAAATAATAATGTAAAATTGGGTGCAGTCTCATGGTGGCCTGTTTAATGATCACCATTATGGGGGTGTGCAAAAGCACACCAACGTGCCTACCATCCCTGTCCTATTGTTTCTTTTATTTTTATTTTTTATTTTTCTTATATGTATCTATGTATTCATCCATAACTATGTTTTTACTTATACCTATTATTTTGTAAGCAATTGGCAAAAATAAATAAATAAATGATAAATAATTAAATAAATAAATAAATTATGGACTCACAACCGTAATTACAGGCTCGATTAAAGTCTTAAGTTGAGGACTGCCTATACCTTCAAGTCCTTATTTAGACTGGTCTTCTAATGAAGACTTCACCAAATTTAATTCCTGGTTTTAAGGCAACGTTATCATTACTACTTTACCAAATTAGTTTCAGGCTCATTCTTACAATAAACATTCCGGTTAGCACTCATCTAGTCATATAACCTTCCTGGTGATTTTGGCAGCACAGAATGACACTAACTGGGATATAAATTGCTATTTGACGAATACAGAGTCACTCCCTTTTCCTAGGAAATGTCTAACTCCCATGAGCCTTTGCTGGAGCCCAGGAACCATTTGCCAGTGCTTGCAAAATATGTTTTTGGGGTCACACTGTGGCAGCAAGGACAGAGGGATTGTGTTCATCCTCTCCATCTATTTTTACTGCATCAAAGAGAGACAGAGAGGAGCCCCTATTTCTTTTCCATTTCAGTAAAATGTGTTATGGCGAGATGGCCATCCAGAGATGAAGCTGTAACAAAGACCTTCCCTGCTCATGTGCAGAGTACACTTCCTTCATCAGCAACAAAACCCTACCCAACCCTCCATCAAAATCTCAGTCAGAAAAAGGAGCTTTTTTAAGCTAGTTAAAGCCTTGCCATTGGATTAGAGATCTCCAAACTTAACTATGCTGGCTAGTGAATTCTGGGAGTTAAACTCCACAAGTCTTAACGTTTCCAAGTTTGGGGACCCCTGCATTAGATGATGCTATAATATTTAATAATAATCTCTCTGTCTCCATCTCCATCTCTCTCTTTCTCTCTCTTTCTCTCTCTCCCTCTCTCTCTCTCTCTCATCATCCTCTGCATTCTGCCTTACCATGTTTTCTCCTCTGTTTTCCATTTCCGGCAGCTGTGTCTTGCATCCGGTTGTACACCCAAACTGCTCTTCTGCACCAATGTAGGCTTCCATGCAGGCTATATAGTATCCAAGAGAGAGGAAAGAAAGGAAGAATTCAGCACAAATGGATAAAATTCAGGGTTCGGAAATCTATTCTGTTTCCAGCTGAAATCTCAAATCTAGTTCAAAAGTGGCAATCGAATGTAAAATTGTAGCTCCAGGATTAGCCACGATTCCTTTCTTCAGCCTAGTGCCCTACGAAGTGTTGGATTTCAATTCTTGGAAAACCCCTATTTCTTCATCCTGCAATCTATTTTACTTATTTATGGAATTATTTGTGAGATTTATATCCTGCTTTCACTCCAGGAGGTTAAGATAGTTTGCATGGAGAGAGCCTTCATTATCTTCCCCCAAGAGCACTGTAAAATAGAGGTAGTCCTTATGACCATAATTAAGCTGGGCAATTACAGGTAATCCTCGAGTTACGACCATAATTGATCCCCTAATTAATGTTGCTAAGCGAAACATTTGTTAAGTGAGTTTGTCCCATCGTATGACGTTTCTGGCCACATTTGTAAAGTGAATCGCTGCAGCTGTTAAATTAGCAACACAATTGCTAAATGAATCCGGTTTCCCCAGGGACTTTGCTAGTCAGAAGGTCACAACCGTCTGCAACCGTCATAAATGTGAGTGAGTTGCCAGGCATCCAAATATAAATCATGTGACTATGGGGAGGCTGCAATGGCCGTAAGTGTGAAAAATGGTCATAAGTGTTCTGACCCAGGCTTCATCCAAATTAAGGAAACACAAACTGAGTGTAAAATCCAACCTATTTTAATGCAACGCTGGGAATTTTTTGTATTCCCAGCCAGAACTAATTATACACAATTCCCTGAGATAAGCTCACGCCTTTCAGGGTTGTAGAAGGCTACCAAGAAACAGAAGTCCAATTACTTAGAATATTAAACCAACAGGAGTTCCAGCAAAAACAAACCAGAGTCTGTAGGGCTTCACTGAGGAATCAGAACCTAATGAACTTCTTTGCTTCCTGAAAAGAGCACGTCACTGAGGGCTGACTTTTACCCCTTATGGGAGTGGCAATCAACTTCCAGCCTTACTCCCGAGTCGCCCCCTCTGCTTCAGCTGCTCTTTCCTGTGCACACGCGCACTGGGAACAGGCTCCCCTTGTTCCTCTGCCTCGCTGCTGCCAGACTCCAAAGGCTCCAAAGGCAGCACCCCACTCCCAGATAGTCCTGGCCCCATCCGTGCATCGGACGCAAGACCCTCGTCCAAGTCTTCTCCAGAATCCCTGCCTGGTTCCCTTTCGTCCCCACTGTCTGATCCCGCTGCCATCTGCACTGGCTGCCGGCAAACCACAACCATAAGTCATTTTTTTTAGTGCTGTTGCAACTTCAAATGGTCACTAAATGAACTGTTATAAGCTGAGCACTACCTGTACGGTCGAAAGTCATGTTAAAGCAGATCACCACATGACCAGATCCAATGTCACTACTTTTTCCACAACAGTAGTTAAGCAAACATGGTAGCGGGTGAGCAAACACATTGTTTGCTATGGGAGGTATAACCTTGGTTGAGTTGGGCAGCTTATAGAAATCGAATAAATACATTTATTAAATTACTAAATTCCCTTTAAGTTCGGCTTCCCAGAGACACAGGCTTGGCCCAGACAAGCTGACAAGACCTTCCATCCGATAGTGAGAGACGATTTTTCTAGCTTCTTTAATAAATACATCAGCACCTCGTGACAGCTAGATGGTGCTCAGTTTTCAAAGGCAGCTACATCTGGAGAACCAGCTGCTGGAAATCCAGAAGAATGTGGCTGTTGGAAACAGGTTGCTGGCCCGACGGGGCAGATGGTGCCTCTTGGGAACGTAGGAACTGGAGGTCCAATCAGCCTCAAGTCCAGATGGGATAGGATTTGTTTCATTTTAAAGACTGGGTAACCCCACTTTTCAAACAGGCCCTGAAAAGTTATCAAAACCATTCATGTTGGCAAAGACAGCCCTTTGAAATCTCTGCTTTGACAGATTTAGACTAGGAGAGGAAGGCTGCGCCATTCCCACCTGCGCTTTCCATTATCCTAGACTGTTGGTGGGAATTTGCTTCAGAAGCTCGGAAAGAAGGAAGGGAGATGACCCTCTTAAGTGGGGGGAAGGTTCTGGATAATGTAAAAGAGGGGAGGGGTGTGTGGATTAAAGAGGGGGACGGCGGGGGAGGTAGAAAACCAGGAGGAGGAGACGACGCACAGGGTTACTGCCTTACCCGATTCGCACTCGGCTCTGGTTGCATTCAGCTCAGCAGTGGCATCCACAAAATGACAGATGGAAAACAGCCGGCAGCCCCGGTAACAGGCGTTGAGAATAGCATCCTGAGGGAGGCAAAGGAAATTGCAGAGAGGGAGGGAGAATTGAGATGCTACAACTGCAATGGTCTGTCTCCAAATTTAACACAAAACAGGGTCCACAAAACACAGCGGGGGTTGTTGTTGTTGTTTTTTTTACACCCATGCACAGAATTATAGAACCAGGAGGTGCTCTGGGGGTCATTATTTTAGACTAACCTCTCTGCTCGGGGCAGAATCTGCACAGCAGGCTGTGGCTGTATATCATTTCTAATAGTGGGTGGTCCAACAGTGAAGGAGACCCTGTCCCTTTCAGCGCTGATGGCTAAGACCTTCCTCCTAAGGTTTTCCCCGAAATCTCCACCTTCAGTTCTCATCCTTGCTTCTGCATCCCCGGGATATAGGCCTGTTTCATCTTCTTCTTAACAGTCCTTTAAATTGATATTTCTCAACCTTGACCAGAGGTGGTTATTCAGCAGGTACTGACCAGTTCTGGAAAACCCGTAGCGGAAATTTGGAGTAGTTCAGAGAACCGGCAAATCCCACCTCAGATTGGCCCTGCCCCCATCTATTCTCTGCCTCCGGAGTCCCAGCTGATCGGCTGGGTCTCCTTTTGTTGCCCTGCACAGGAGAACGGAGCTGGAAAGCAGGTTAGTGGGGTGGGGAGGGAATGGGGATTTGCGGTATACTTCCCCCCGGAGTGGGGTGGGAATGGACTTTATAGTATCCTTCCCCTGCCATGCCCACCAAGCCATGCCCACAGAACCGGTAGTAAAAAATTTTGAATCGCACCACTGACCTTGACCATTTTAAGATGCGTGGAGTTCAACACCCAGAATTCTCCAGCCAAAATACTGGCTAGAGAATTCTGGGAGCTGGAGTCCCCATGCCTTAAAGTCACTAAGGCTGAGAAGCTCTGCTTTAAATTTTTTGAAGAAAGGTATAATATAGAATATGACGTGAGGGGAACCTAAAGCTCCCAGGCTACATTTGGTGCCTAAATTTTGGCATGCCCTTGTTGGAAATTGGTGGTATGGCTCCTTACTATATTAAAAAAAGTACTCTTTATTTCTCATACATGTATTCTAGCTTACCTCCAGGCAATAGAGATAGGATTCCCTCCTCTCATTTTTCCCATCTATCATCTTGTTAGATAGTTTAGTTTAAAGAAATAAACTGGCTCAAAGACACCCCAGGAGCTTTCATGACTGAGGTTGGATTTGAACCTGGGGCTTAATTTAATAGCTATTTTGAAGCAGGAAGCACATCGAAAAGGTAATATAAGCATTAAAGTAGACTTGGCAAACTGTAAAGAAATACACGCAGTCCTCGACTTATGACCACAATTGAGCTCAACATTTCTGTTGCTAAACAAGACAATTTCAAGTGAGTTTTGCCTCACAGTATTTCTTGCCATACTTCTTAAGTGAATCATTGGAGTTAAGTTAATAACGAGGTTGTTAAGTGAATCTGGCTTCCCCATTGACTTTGCTTCTCAGTAGGTCACAAAAGGGGATAACGTGACCTTGGGAAAGCAGCAACGGTCATAAATATGAACCAGTGGCCAAGCATCTGAATTTTGATCACCTGAACATGGGAAATGTTGCAACAGTCATTAAGTGTGAAAAACGGTAATATGTCACTTTTTCAGTGCTGTTGTAACTTTGAATAGTCACTAAATGAATGGTTGTAATTGGAGGACTAGTTATACTATAATGTTAAAATAAAAGTAATATTGGCTTGAAGGACTTCGGTTTTCCACCAAAATTTATCGAGTTTTCACACTTATGACCGTTGCAATATGCCCATGGTCATGTGATCAAAATTCAGGTGTGCGGTAAGTGGCATGTATTTTACAAGAGTTGCACTGTCCCAGGGCCACGTAATCACCATCTGTAATTTCCCAGCCAGATTCACTTAACGACTGCATGATTCATTTAACAACTGCAGTGATCCACTTAACAATTGTAGCAAAAAGGGTTGCAAAATGGAGCAAAACTCAACAACTGCCTTGCTTAGCAACGGAAATATTGGGCTCCATTGTGCCTGTAAGAAGTCAAGGAAAATTGAGCCTAAAATTTATGTTGTTAAGTGAGACATTTCTTAAATGAGTTTTGCCCCATTTTATGACCTTTCATGGCACATTTGTTAAGCGAGTCACTGCCGTTGATAAGTTAGTAACATGGTTGTTAAGTGAGTCTGGCTTCCCCATAGAAAAGGTCGCAAAAGCAGATCACGTGACCTTGGGACACAGCAATGGTCATAAGTATGAACCAGTTGCCAAGCATGATTTTTGATCCCGTGAGCATTACAAAGGTTGTAAAGCGTGAAAAATGGTCATAAATCATTTTTTTCAGTGCCATTGTAACTTTGAATGGTCACTAAATGAATCATTGTAAGTCTAGGACTACCTGTATTGGAAATCCAGAGACTGTGGTTTATTTCTATGGTTAAACAAATTATAGCTTAACTGGCTATGTGAATCAAATTCAGCTGATTCATCTGGTAACATTTTTATTCTGATAAAGAAAGCAAGTTTTTTTTTTAAAAAGTTCCAACTCCTAGCTGCTGTTCAGAAATGAAACATTATATAATGTATTTATATGGTTTATTTACCCATATTATCAACATCTACATTCCTCTTTCATGGGGTTCATTTTCTCAAGCTGTTGAACAATAGGCTAATTAAGACAAAAATCCAAAACAACTTCATTAAAATTAATCAGAGGATGTGATAATCCAAAGAGGGAGAGAAATACACCCTGCCAACCCTGATAGCAGCCAGTTGAGATGGAAAAGTCTTAAGTGCCTTACCTTTTGTTACCCATCTGAAATCTGCAAAATGCATTAAGACGATCCTTGATGGAAACAACCTATTGGGCTAAAACAGGGGTGTCAAACTTACAGCCTGCAGGGGGCTTAGATCAGGCCTGCGAGGCTGACCTGGAAACAGCGAAGGATCGCCCCGTGGTACCTCTGCCAGTGAAAACCAGAGGTCAGGAGGGCTGCATGCTGTTTTGGCTGGCTGAGGGTGGCAAGAGGCCCTTGCAGCCGAAAACGGAGCTCAGGAACCCGTTTTCGCTGGCAGAGTGCTCAGGCCGCCACAGGCGCCCCCGACATGAGTGATGTCAAGCTGGCCACACCCATCCTGGCCACACCCACCCTTTTCCCCCAAGGTCAAACACAACCCTGATGCGGCCCTCAATGAAATTGAGTTTGACACCCCTGGACTAAGGGAACACCTGGTTTCTTTTAAAAGAGCGAGTTCACACAGGTACTCCTTGACTTACAACCACAGTTAAGCCCAACATTTCTCTTATAAGTAAGGAAGTTGTTGTGCCTTATCTTATCACCAGGGGTGGGATTCAAATTTTTAACAACCGGTTCTATGGGCATGGCTTGGTGGTCATGTCATTGGCTGGGTGTGGCCAACTCAATATCATTCACATCGAGGCACGCATCTCGCCTGGCCTCTCATGTGGGGATTCTGCAACAGTCGTAAGTGTGAAAAATGGTCATAAGTCACTTTTTTCAGTGCCATTGTAACTTTGAATGGTCACTCCACACAAGCAAAGTACCAGCAAAGAGTACGTTCCTGAGACAGGAAGTCTAGTCCTATCAAGAATGTAATAAGGGTTAACGGAGAGGCAGTTTCTGTAAACAACACCAGAATGTTTCCTTCCTGCCTTCCTTACAGGATTAGGCCAGTAATTTCTTCTAACAACCGGTTCTCCAAACTGCTTAGAATGTTAACAACTGGTTCTAGCCAATAGGTGCGAACTGGTAGAATCCCACCCCTGCTTATCACCTTTTTGGGCACAATTTTTAAAGGAACCCCTGCAATTGTTAAGCGAATCATGCGGTTGTTAAGTGGATCTGCTCCCCTCCTCCACTGACTTTGCTTGTGGGAAGCTGGCTGGGAAGGTTGCAAATGGTGATCCCATGACCCCAGGATGCTGCCACTGTCATAAATATGAACCAGTTGCCAAGCATCTGAATTTTGTTTGTGTGACCAAGGGGATGCGGCAACAGTCGTAAGTGTGAAAAACGGTCCTAGGTTTTTCCAGTAACTTCAAATAGTCACTCAATGAATCGTTGTAACCTGAGGAATTGTCTCCATTTTATTTGCTTTTAAAGTGCTTTCTCGGGGATGAACAGTCAGTCCTCGACTTACAACAGAGACCGTTCAAAGTTCGAACGGCAGTGAAAAAAGTGACTTATGACCAATTTTTCAACTTATGACCATTTCAGCATCACTAGGGTCACATGATTTATATCCAGACGTTTGGCAACTGACTCACATTTATGACGGTTGCAGTGTCCTGGGGTCCTGGCATCACCTTTTGCAATCTTCTGACCAGCAAAGTCAACGGGGAAACCAGATGTACTTAACAACTGTGTTACTAATTTAACAACTGCAGCAATTCATTTAACAAGCTCCGGTATTTGAGGGGCTGCCACAAAGAGGGGGGTCAAAATTATTCTCCAAAAAATCAGACAGCAGGACAATAATGGATGGAAACTAATCAAAGGAGAGCAGCAACCTGGAATTAAGGAGAAACTTCCTAACAGTGAGGAAATTAACCAGTGGAACAGCTTGCCTCCAGAAATTGTGGGCACCCATCACTGGAGGTTTTTAAGAAGAGACTAGAACAGGGGTCTTCAAACTTGAGAGCTTTAAGACTTGTGGACTTCAACTCCCAGAATTCCTCCTCCAGTCATGTGAGCTCAGGAACTCTGGGAGTTGAAGTCCACAAGCCTTAAAATTTGTCAAGTTTGAAGACCCTTGGACTAGACAGTCACTTGGGGGTTGATTTAACTATGATTTCTGGGCTTGTCCTTGCTTTTTTTTAGGATTAGACATAGACAGCTTTAACCCTATTCACACAATTCTCTTAAACTCATTGTGCCACTATCCCGGTTAACCACTATTATGGTTCTGGCAACATCAGAAAACGCTATATTGGGAATACAGGGTCTTTGCTCACTTCCTCCAGTAAATGTCCATTATCCCCTGAGCTTTGCAC